CCACTGCACTTTGGTTCCCAAAGTTGGGCTTGGGACCCAATTATGGGTCATGAAGCACCTTGGATAATGTCCAGAAATCAATTTAAAGGGTATTAAATTAATTGCTAATATAATATTTTCCCTATAACTATTACAAAAACACAAAATAAGTATATATAAGTATAAGTATTTATATTTGTGTACAAGCTGTTTAGATTGTCAAAAAGCCTGTGTTTTTAGAGTTATTAACAAAGTGTGTGTCCTCAGACCAGTAATATTTGGGGTCACAAGTTTTTGCCTTGGATATTTTGTGGGTCAGAAGACAAAACGTTTGGGAACCACTGCTCTAAATGATCTCGTTATTTTAAAGTGTTCTTAAGTTTACTGAAATTAATCAGATTTTTTTAATGATTTGTTTAATTTGTGTAGTTTCAGATTTAAAATAAACATCTCTGAGGACGTTTCTCTACAAGTCCTTTAAACTTTACTTTTAACACAAAACATGAAGTGTGTGAATCCAACATGAGGCTTTAAAAAACTGTAATGTGATCATTTTTATACATCATACTCAAAATATAGATTTTCATATAGCATGTGTGCAAGTATTTTTTTGGACTGGGAAGACAGGTAAAACCTGTCTATGAGGCATAAAAGCAACAAATTAAATCATTTGTAAGCAAAAATAGATTTCAGATAAAAAGGTTAGAGTAGTCGCTTTTTTGTTCACCACAGTCAGGTAGATTTATGCTAATATAAAAATCTTAAAATACGCTGAGAAAAAAAGAACGTATTCTTGAATGGTTGCAGTTATTCTTCTCGGCAGAAAACTGCTGACTAAGCACAGCTTCCCAAAAGCTTTCTAGTAATTCCCCCCAACAGCTGCTGACTCCAGTTTGATTCTATTCTTTTATATTACTTCCTACTTGTTGTCTGATAATAAAAAGGAGTCAAAATGCATTTACTGTTGATGTTGACATAGAAACATTCAAGGTGAGCTTTCCTCATCTTCCCTGGCATTTGACAAGCCAAGAACATATGTATGTTTCTTCTGTATTATCCTCCCTGCTGCACATTTTACCCAGAAGAACATATTTTAGACAGAGAATCTCCACCTGAAATGCCCAAATGTAGAAAAAAAAAAAACCATCAGCAGGCAAACATGGACCTAATTTACTGCACCAGAGAACCAGTCGTGTGTGAAAACTGCAGAACGTTGGCCCACTTTGACCTCACACTACCTGCCAATGATGACTGAAATAAAACTATTTTTAAAAGAAAAAACATGCTTTACTGGACTTACGCTGACCACATCTGCTTACTCTTTTTAGCCTTTTTTCAGACTTTTAACCAAAAAAACCTATCCAATTAAAAATCCATAAATTTGTCTCTCCTCTCCTTCCCGTCCTAATCAACACACTCAGGCACCTACTCATGATGCCCACAATAAGTTTGCCTGACAGTAAACTGGACCATCAAAGAGGAAGCTGCAGTAAGGTGGGTTTGTGCTGGCACTGCAGCCTCTCATTTGTGAACATCTGGAGCAGTTTAAATCCACCGTTGAGGACAAAACCCATGGGACACTTGAAGTCGGGAACAAAAACTTGCAGGGGAGCTAAAAAAACAGCCACCTCTTTTCTTTTTTTGTTACAGAAGTTGGGGAAAAAAAGTGACAAGGCTGTAATACAGCAACACTGGAATAGAGAGAGGGGAATGCTGTTTTGTCGTGTTCAGAGGAATTTCCAAGGAACCAGCCAGAAGGATTTTGATGTTTTGGAAACGTCTGGAAATTCCTGCTGAAGGTGTTGAGTGAAAATCTCGCGGAGAATAAAGGCTGCGAAGTGATCTGTAGAGTTATACAGTCGTGAGCCAACCAGCACGAGATGTTTTAGAGGATCATCACGCACAAAGATGAAATATGCAGGCAGCCCAAACCCCCTGGACTGAAGCGAGTTCCTACATGTATAATGCAGGCTTGTTTGAGTGTGAGTAATGCCTCCTCATACCAGACATCAGACATTGTAGTGAAGACGCCATCTTTCAGGGACTCGGGAGACATCCAGCGAACAGGCAGCAGGCCCTTCCCTCCTTTCCGGTAGTAATCCGTCTCGTAAATATCTCTGGTCATGCCAAAATCTGAGGGAGAAATAACAACAGACAGGGGAAGCCAGTGAATACCGCTCACTCTAGGAGGGGAAGCTCCCGGGAGCTCCTTTATTCCCCTCACGTCCTCCCTCCTCCTGTCCGTCTACATTACAGCTCGAGGCACTCTCTGAAACCCTAACGGTTCTTTCCACGGCCAGCAGAGCAGGTTTAACATCCGGCAGCACGTCCCAACGACCCACCTCCGATTTTCACCGTGAAGTCCTCCGTTACCATGCAGTTCCTGGCAGCCAGGTCTCTGTGGACAAACTTGTTGGCATTTAGGTAAGCCATGCCGTCGGCGATTTCCCCCGCCATCTGGATCATCTTCTTCAGAGGCGGCAAGACCTGAGTGGTGGAGTTCTGGTGGCAAACCAGGAAGAGATAATTAGAGGGGAGTTCAAGAGCATTCTTTGCTTTTAAAGCACAACAAAGCGGGCGATGGATGCTGAGTGAGGGGGGAAATTTTTTTTATTTTAAAATTACAGTAGTATGTTTGGAAAACAAGATATCAAAAAAATCCTGTATTTGGTTTTTGAAACAAGTTTCTAAATAAGCATCAAAATTTAAAAAAACTATAGAACAATAAAATGAAGCTAGCGTTTGCCATCGACGCCAAAGCTTTAAACAAAACTCTCGTGTAAAGTCACTTTTATATTTGCAAGATTGAGCTGTGGCATCTTAAGTCATGTTGACTCCAAACATTACTTGCAATGATTATTTTCTGAGAGTTTCAATACAGGTATTAAAATGGTTTGTGAGGATTTTTGTTAACACACACAAACATGCACACAGCTAATTACATCGCAGTTGGCAAGGAAAGTATACGCAACAGACCCCGACCCTCTCTTTTAAACTCCAAACAGCACGTCAACTTTCTGAAAGCTTAGCTGAACTATTTGTGCGTTTCTCAGGAGAACCTGCTCACCTCATTCCGCAGAGAGCGCAGGTGGCTCTTGAGGTCTCCACGGGTCATCAGCTCCATGATCACCAAGGTCGGCTGTCCCTGAGAGACCACACCCAGCAGCCGCACCTGCAAAAAAAAAACGACAAAACTCAACAGCTCAATAAAACTATGAAAATGTCTTTACTTTGCAAAGGCAATGTGATAAAACGGTTTACAGAACCTCTACCGACTTTTTAGCCCGAAGCCTCGCAAAATTGTGCTTCACAATTTTTGGACTCAGTCTTTCACAGATTTTTGTATTTTTTTACAGTACGTTAGATGTACCCATGCTCATATGGAGAGCAGCATTTCTGCTATGTGTTTACTGTTACTGAATACCGTAAATCTGTTAATCACCTTTCTTCCTGGACTGTCAATATCATTCATTATTGTGAGTACCCATACATTTGACTGTATTTTTTACAGAATTTAATTTAATTTATACAGTATATTTTATGTATTGGGAGCATATTTAGAGTCTAAGATCTAAAAATCGGCATTGATAGGCCTTTTGGGACTGTTTTCAATAAGTCAAGGGTACTCTAAGAATGTAACTCCCATGAAAATCAGGGGTTCATTGTGTTCAAAGACACAATGGCACCTGGTAGATCCAATTGTTTCCTAATTGTGATTTTCCAGTTAGTGTTCTTCATCAAACACCTACCACCCACCCAGCTCTAAAAAAAAATCTATTTCCTGAATCAGTTTATGTCATCATAGTATATTTTAAAATGACTATAAAGTACAAACTATGAACACAGATAAGCTTGACTTTTAGCAGGAGTTCTAATGTTTGAAGAAAAATCTGTAATCTGTAATAATTCCCAAATTCAAAGATGTTTCTTCTTTAAATGACCATCCCTAATGTCTAATTTTATACAATTAAAAACACTTACATACTGGTTTTTATTAGATACCATGATCAAATAACTACAGTACAGAAACAGAAGTTTAAATTAAGAAGCACATACAAGTAAAAAAAAATTAAACTGCTCTTAAATTTTCTATCCTCTATCCAACATTAGTATTAGGGAAACATTTAGCTTTAATGTGCTTTGAAGATGGTTAAAAAAAATCTGTCTTTTAAATTATTCAGTGACTTCAATATTTGAGCATTTGGCTCCTTTAGGAACTTTCTAAAAGGAAATCTTTACCACATCCATTTACCGTAGTTAATGAGGCTGTGATTACATTGATGTGAGAATGTACAGAAACTCCAGGAGGCTTTGCTCCGCCCCAGGCTGAAACTGCCTGCGCCTTACAACTAAATGCTTTAAATCATCGCTGGCTGCTGTTTGTGCACATGCAGATTCTTTCAGAAGAGCACTATTTGTGGGTATCAGCCCATTACTTAGTTCATTTTTAAATGATTCTGATGTCATCTTTTTTAAGATCTTACCACGTGATGACAGTTGAACTCTTTCATGACAGACGCCTCGTTCAGAAACTCGATCCGCTCCCTCATGCTGGCCGACTCGTTGACCGTCTTGATGGCCACCCGCGTCTCGGGCTCGTCCTTGACGACGCCTTTAGCGATGCCTTCGTACACCATGCCGAAGGAACCCTGACCCAGCTCCTTGTGCATCGTGATCTTTTCCCTGGCCACCTCCCACTCATCCGGAGTGTACACTGGTGCAGCAAAAGGAAACAATAAGACTCAACACAAACATCCGAAGCAGAGCAGCGGAGCAGATATTTATCGCTCTTACTTTCTGCCGCGCTGATGTACTCTGGGTTGACAGATGCGTACAGAACTCCGTTCCCGAGTCTGTTGTTGTTCCTGTAAACACGAATACGGCTCAGTGAGCTGACAAGCGGCCCCAGTTTTGGATGCAATATTCAGTTCTCAATGGGACGTCTACTCTTCCCGAAAGAGCCATGATAATGAAAACACCTATTAACTCTAAATAACATTACACTCATCATTAAGCTTCATGAGGACAGTCTGTGGAAGCTGCGCTCACAGGAACACTTGCCTCTTTTTGTTGATAAAGAAGAGAATGGTGGTGAGGCTGGCGATGAGAAGGGTGGCGATGATAGGAAGTATGATGACCAAATACAGTGTAGCGTAATCATCTCCTGGGAGAGAAAATGAAACATAATTCAGTGTACTCAGGCTGTCTGATGGACTGGAATTTTTTTTTTTATGGGTGACTGAGGAAGGTGTCAACATTGCGTTACGTTTAGGCGGAGGCACGTAGAAAGAGACGCTTTCTGTCCACGAGCCGTTTCCTGCCAGGGACGTGGCTCGGACACGAGCCGAGTAGTTTCCTGGGCTCAGGTTGGTCAGACGAGCTCCTTTGTACTGACGGTACTGCTGTCGGGACACACAGCTGTGTTTTTCAGGCTGCAGGGAAGAGAAAAACAAAAACTGTGGTCACTGCATGCAACAACAATTTTGTCTGTTCTTTAACTCTTTCTTAAGACTTAAAGTTTCATCAAACTGAGGTTGCTCAGAGAGCTATCTACACAAGGTAAGATATGTTCATAACCTTCCTGCAGAATCATACATCAAATGATCTAAACTACTCCTTTTATAGAAAACAGAAGAAAAATAATACAGCCCTTGATGGTAAAATGGGATCTATATGTCCACAGTATACCATCATTAAACATACTTGAAGAAAATGATAATTAAATCTTAACAGATTCACCTCAGTCCCCAGACGGTACTTGATCTCATACATCAGTATGAACCCGTTGGGCATGACGGGCTCCGGCCAGTGCAGAACCACACAGCCTTCAGTTTTTTCACTCCTCTCGAAAACAACCTTTCCTGGGATGTCATCTGCTTTGGCTGCCAGACAGACACAGTGATGCCCACAACATTATAACCCCACATTACATCATACTGTATATGCGATCCAAGTTATTGCTTTTCTTCATATCCAATCAAATGTATTAATATAGCACATTTATAAACAACTGTCATTAGCCAAAGTGCTGCAAACCAAACAATGAAGAGTAAAAAGATAATGCCAAACAGTTATAATTATAAGACATTAAGTAAAACCATTAAAATTATGCAAAAAAAAAAAAAGCCTGTGTGGACCAGCCTGGACCTCAGGACAGCTAAAGACCTGATGACTTCAGTGGAAGGAATCTAGAGTGTCCAAAAGACTGCAGGTCAGATATGCATTGAACCTGTCCATTCAGGCTCTTATAGGTCACTGTAAAATTAAAATTAAAATCTTACCTGCAGGTTTAGTCCTGGCATACACAAAGGCGCCGATGCTGCAGTCGTCTCCCACCTCCTCGTTACAGGCGTGGACGTCAATACGATAGACAGTGAAAGGTCGCAGTCCGGAGATTTCTAAGTGTTCTGCCAAAGTTTTGTCCTCTAAGAAGGGGTACTCGATGACAGGAGGGATCCCATCTGTATTGTTATCTTTGTGGCCGTATGAGGTATTTCCTTGACTGATCTCTGGAAACAGAGTGTTGTTGGCGACACCGAAAACATCTCTCCGTCGACGGTCTTGAGGTCTGAAATACGAATAAAGAGTACAATTTTTAAAAATCTGCAAAATTTTTTTAATCCTTCAATAATTACTATAGGAGGTAATCATAGGTTAATATCTTAAAAAACCAATATGCATAAAGTTGAAATACAGCACTGGAGGAGGCTGAATAAGCAGATATTTTTTGTGTCTGTGTATGCCATGAGTCCTGATGCTGAACAGCACTCCCAGTGGTGCTGTGTAAAAGAATGAGGTCACATGGATCATTGCAATAAGGATAGACAGAGTGACAGGGAAAAATAGAAACCTTTTTTTTTTCCACATTGTAAAAAATAAAAGGACAAAAAAAAAAAAACCACTGTCCAGTGTGATACAATCAAAGAAAAGGAGTTTGTCCGACAGAGAAACTTCAAAGTCAGTAATCCTGATGATAACTGTTTGGCTGTCAAACACGGGTTGTTAGTGTATTTTGGCACTTGGTATCAGAATTCAGATGATAAGCTGCAGAGCCTCCTGGAACTGTGCATCGTCATTACTGGGAGCAGACAAGTGGTGACAACTGCGAATGCAGCACCAGCAGTTGGAGGAGAGACAACACAAGTCAGCTGGCCCACCTGCGAAATCTTCACTGCTGTCAGCAAGGATGGAGGGAAAACGTCTGGGTTTGATCGAGCGCACTAGCAGAGGCTGTATTGCCATCTTAACAGGAGGTTTTACTTAATAAGTAATTGATGGTTCGGTTTGCAGAATGTCCCAAATAACTAAGTCGTGTGATTTAGCTTCTCTTGCTCTAAAAACCTAAGTACTGGAGGAGTCTAGATACACAAACATACACGTCGTGGGAAAGACCAGTCGCATTTACATGTCAACATTCTTCTCTGACATGTGGTCCAGCACATGACTTACTGCTTTTAATAAACACACCTAAACGTCAGGAAACTTTTTTTTTTTACTCTAAGGAGTTAAAATGACAGAAACCATTTGCCTGGCTGACAGGCAGAAACAAAACACACAAAAAAATTAAAAATGCGTAAAGTTTCTAGTTTTTGCATAAAAACAAAACAAGCTAAATTAATGGTGTCATTTTCCCGACCTTTCTCTGGTCTAAAAATATTGTACACAGCAGAGATTAAACTACGACAGCTATGAATGCACAAAATAGAAAATTGAGATCTTTTAAAGTAGAGTTCTAAATATAAATATCCTACCTGCTGCAGATAAGTTTTTAAAAGTCAAAAAGAAATGAAGTTTTTTCTTAGAAAAAAAACATCAGTTTATGTTTGGAGAGCCAAATGTAAAGTATAATGTGACACTATGTCACTAACACACTGAAATTATTTAGCACCCTTTCACAAATGTTAAATTTAAAAGTTGAATGTAATGTCTACATTTTAAATCCTAAATCTAAATGTGAAAACCTAAATGTAAATGTTGTGGCTAAATGTTTAAATTTCAGTATTTCAGAATGGAACGCAGCCTTTGCCGAAGATGCTTTTTGTCATGATGTCATCATCCTGCGACAAACGCCAACTTTGCTAACGCTGCTATGAGACTCAACCTTGCATTTGCAGCTGGTGACCGAGCTGCAAGCTGCCGGACACACGTGCCATCCATATTTTTTTCACTTAAACACATTTTGAGTTTAATTTTTAAATGCCATCTTCAGCAGCATTAGTGCTTGCTTTTGTCGCAGGATGATGACATCACCAATGGCAAAGGTTGTGTCCCATTCCAAAATTCTTATATGTAAGCTTTATCATTTAGCATAAACATTAAAGATTTAAATCTTACATTTAGATTTACACATTTAGATTTAGGATTTAACATTTAAAAAATGATCAAAATGTAAGAGCAGTGAGCTACATAATAAAAAAGTTAGTGGACACTTTTAAAGTAGGATTTTACATTCGGAAAGTGAGCTAAATAATGACACCTGCTAGTGACATTTTTTAACATTTAATTTTACACTCAGCACATATTTATATTAATGCTACTTTATAAACTTTTGGATTGCCATCATGTTTGTGCTGGAAATGCCCCAAGCTGCACTAGAACTGCTAGCCCTAGCTGCAGCTGTTGCTATTTGCATTTTGAAATAACCAGTGAATTTGTGTAAATTACTGCATTGTGCACTATTTAAGACTTGTAAAAGTGCTAAATATTAGAGATTAGAGTTGTTTTAAATGGCAGCAACCCTGTTAGCTCTTCGGTCCACTCAGTATTAAACTTTATTTTTCCCAACTGAGGTCGTTCAAAGAGCTACAGTGTCTACAACAAGATCTAATTTGTTTATATATTTTCCCACTTCAAAAGATCTGAGAAGGCCATGTTAGAAACATTGAGGAACTCTGCATCAGTTCATCTTTATCTGTTCAACATTATCAACAGCAGCAGGTGATTGTAGCAACTGAAATTTCCCTTTCTGCTCAGCACCGCCGCAGCCAGAGATCCCTCTTTGAAAAGTTCCTCCAGCAAATGAGACTGCCTTCTTCGCTTTCTGTTTGTCTTCTGGTGCTGGTGGGGCTTTTCCCCTCTTTCATTCCAATTCCAGATGGATTCACTGTACATTTCCTGGCAGCTGTCTGGCACCAGAAAAACATCTTTAACAAAAACAGCGTGCAGGAGGAGGTGTAGAGTGGAGAGCTGAATAAGGGTGGGAGGGAGACAAAAAGGAAAACATTTCCTTCTTTTATATATATATATATTTCTGTTTTTTGTAGACACTCGTTCCTCTTACCCAGAGACAAAACTCTGAACCTTTGGTTAAAAGAAAAAAAACACTTCCAGATTTTTAACATTTTTTTCTGTGCGTTGCTTGAAAGAATGCTGGCTGTGTTACAGAGAAGAGTTTGAGCATAAACGAGCTGCTGAATATACTACACTGCAACTTTTAAACACAGATTGAGGACAGATTTATTATTTACAATAGCTGTGTTTTACTATTTCCTTTCAATGAAAAGCTGCATCAACTTCATGAGATTTCTTTTAAGCTGAGTTCATCGTTCTGTTACTGCACTTGAATGAAGTAAAGCTCATCCAGAATAATAAAACATCTCATATCAGTGCTCGTGCTGAACAGATGAAACGATATCACAGCATAAATGTTCGGCATTTTTTAGGGAATCAAAAGCATAAATGAGGATTTTCCAAACAAACAAGGCAAAATAAAACTTCCCATTTTCTCTCCTGAGTTTGTTTTCGACCACTTGTTGGCACACAAAAACAGGAGACACAGATCACAGCATGTGAGTAGCTTTATAGAAAAAAGTGTGACACGTCCACACTTTACTGTACCTTGGGAGAAAGATGGCGTTGTGCAGAAAGTTCTCAAAGACTTTTAAAAAGTAGCGGTCATGCTTCTCCCTGTCAACGTCTTCGGTCGTCTTCGGGCAGGTGCAGCAAAGGCCCCGCTTCTCTCCGGTCAGGTCCGACTTGGTGGGCTTCGTCTTGTCTTCCACATCTGTGAGTCCTGATGCCGGGATCGGGGTTGGGATCTTCAGCACTATTTTTTTTTTTTGGATTGGAGCAAAAGATGCTTTAGTTAAAGTACATTTATTATTTATATTTTTTCTCTTTCTTTACTGTTTTTTTTTTTTTTTTTTTGCTCGACTAACTTACCCACTGCTAGCCACGAGTTCTTTTATATCTTTTGAAGTGACAGGGTGTTTATTCAAACAACAAGCTCACAGGGGACAAAAATGTGCATTGTTTGAAACAATGCACATTTTTGCTTGAACTGTGCCCCAATGAACAATTTGTTCGCCTTAGAATGAGTTATGCAGACCTTTTGAGCAGTAGTTATATTGGAAGAGCCTCCTGTCCTCAGGCAGCTGCTGCCAGCGCACCAGGTAGTAACTCAGATTTCCGTTAGGAAAGGTCGGTGGTAACCACTTCACTAGCAGCTTGGTTGAAGAGTTGGCGAATGCGTGGGCTTCGTTGGGCACAGACGGCACTGTAACAGACCAAAGCCATGACAAACGGTGAATCTGTGAGCACCAGAAATAGTGACAACAAAGCAGTGGTCGGACTTACATGATGGGCGTGTTCGAATATAAATAATATCCGTTTTGGCCCCAGAGCTGTGTTTGTTGTCCACCTGCAGGGTGATGGCCTTCACAAAAATTGCGTACTGGGTCCAGGGCTTGAGATCTTGAAGGGTGAACGTTGGGTCTGTGCTTTCAACCTTGGGAAGGTCAATGTCCGCCATGTTCCAACTGTTTGAGCCGCAGCCGTCTTGGCCGTCAAACTCTGTGATGTTCTGGAACGGTCTGGAAAGGACACAAAAACTTCAGTCGAAAGAAAACACAAACAAAACTCATAAAAGCAAATAATGATGGAACAATATTTAGGTCCTGGGGAACATTGTCTGTTTAACAAACGTTTTTAAGATTTAATTTTACAAGTTAGCTATGGAGAGGTTTTCCAGTCTTTTGCTGTTCATTCGTATGATTATAATTGGACTAAACCATGCATTCAAATCTGAATTTCGGGTTGAAACAAGACAACTTGGAATCCTCCTTTTTGATAACTTACGACTCTTTATAGTAGACTATGAAGCTGATGAGGCCTTCGTTCTCCTGGACCTGGTAGCGCTCCCATGTGAGTGTGATCGTGTCGTTCGTTGTGGCATTAGACTTGAACTTCAAAATATGACTTTCACCTGGAACGACAGAGCAGAACCATCCTTGTCTGACATGTTCAAACCCAAAAAAGTCATAAAATTTTGGAGTCTTTGTACATTTCCTTTAGGGTAATGTAAAGGGTTTTTTTTTTCTAAATGGAAAAAAAGGTCTGCCAAGTTCACAAAGTCAAAAGTTCACATCTAAGGAAATGCTTCTCCTTTGAAAACAGAAAGCTCCACCCCTGATCTGACTGAAACGTGCTGCTTGTCGTTCAGACTTGTAACTTGTCTACATAACCATGTATTATATTTGCATAAAGTCTGCTCTGTAGCCCTTTGAACGTGCCTCAAACAGAGAATAAGCTGCTGCCTCACACGCCACTGTCTTAAGGCCTTAAAGGGACAGGAGGTAAACCAGCTGCAATGTGAAACACAAAACTGATAAATCACTTAGGGCCAACGCACCTAATCATAGGACGAGGAGTGGCAAGGTCTGTTGCTTCTTATTGTCAATCCGTCCAGCCCTCTCTAGCAACTAACAATATTTTCTTATTTTACAATGACCTGCTGCGGTCTGCTGTTGTAGAGTTCCAAACATTACAGGATCGGTGCGCGCTGCATCCAGTCAGGTTTTCTTATCGTCCAGGATTCACCAACAAAAGTAGCTTAGGGGCCAATATTTCTCTGATCTATTCTGATGCCTTTGAAACTTTGCAGGTCAAATGGATTGAGTTACTGGGTAATAACCAGCCTGTAGGCCACCAGTTTCTGATCACCGTTGTAAATTGGTCTTACAGTTCTGAGCAGACACTCTGCTGACGGGTAGCTTCAGCTTCTCGGGTGTTACGGACAATTCTGTGTTCTGGGCCTCGCTCATGTTTGTTTATTGTTAAACTCAAGAATCGTTTCTGTCAGCTGTTGTAAAGACTGAAAAGTTGTACTACTTTACACAGACTAACTGGTTTAAGGTCCAGGGGTCAGATTTATAAAATTGGCGTATGCACAATTTGAGCCCAGAAACTTGCGTACGCCACTTTTTACGCCGAGGTTGTGATTTATAAAATCCAAACACGACGTGAAAATGTGCGGTGCCTCACGCCAGCTCTGACCCATGCGTACGCTCATTTTGGAGACGTGAAACTGCGACACAGATGGTGAAGAATTAGAGCCACACTGTGTAATGATCACTGTCAGATATTTAATTTACCTTCATAATCAGACTTAGATTTTTATTCAACTTTATCATCAGCTTTCTTAACAGTAATATTTATGCTTCTGCTGCTGAGCCACGAGGACCTTTGAAATAAAAAAAACTTAAATCTTAAATAAAAGTTCCCGTGTGCATCTATCCTACCTACCTATCAGGATATTAAACAGGTCTAAAACATGATCTTTGGTATCCTTCATGACCTCATCTAAACTAACTTAAAATGTCTGTGTCATCAAATTTTTTAATGCATTTTTGGAAAGAAAACAACAATATTATTGCAAAACAAAAAAGTCACACCGCTGAGTTAAACATTTGTTGAGATATTCACATGTGAAGGAACAGGAAGTGATGACAAAGGGGAATGTGTGTGTGAACAGAGCAATACAATGACCAAGAACACAGACTGTAGAGAAAAATCTGATGTTTATTTCAATTTTTTTGAGTCGCTATCAGAGAAAAATGAAGAAAAGGCAGAGTTCAAATATTATTTCTATAAAAACATCCATGAAGTTCACCTTTTCAAAGAGTTTGAGTTCCCCTTTGATGTCACTTCCTGTTTTATTTTAACAGAGCCAAGTTCAAAAGAGAATACACCAGTTATGTGACAAAAATGGGTGAAATTGTGTTTATTATGCCAAGTTTATTAAATATAAAGATGTTTTCTTTGACATTTGTTTTTATAATATACACGTCACAGGCACTTTAAGGCACTGTAAAATGCTGAACCGTGTCAATCATATTTTGATAAACCCCTCAAAATAAAAATAACCTTTAAAGAGGGATGATACGGGCAATTAAAAATTAAATGTTATGACTCTTTAAATGTACACACTTAAAAAAAGTACTCACAGTTTGCTCTTTCTCCGTTGTTGAGGAAGTCACCTTCCCCTGGCTTCACCTGTATGCCCGTGTTCTCCCACATGGTGTGAATCACAGACATGCAGAGTTTGGGGTTTTTGCGAAAGAAGAGACGCCCCGCTTCAATAGTCAGATTGTGCTCACTCCAGTCCCACAAAGACTGCAGATTCTGGTTGTTGAAGACGGAGAAGGAATACATACTGACAAAAAAAAAAACACATAAAAGCAAATGGTTACAAACATGCTACAACACATTTTTTAAAAATGCTTAATAGAAGCGTTTAAAATAAGTTAAAAGGTGATTTTTCACACTCTGTAGCAGCAGCATCTTGAACTAACAGAGCTCATGATATGGGCTCCCGCTTGTGTGTCTGTTTGACAATGAGTGTTTGTTTAAGGTAAGACGTGAAACAGAAACAGCATCATGTTAGCACCCCTCTCAGCACCAGCACAGTCCAACCAGAACACCTCCAGAGAGGAGGGAATGTCTGTCATACTCAACAACATTCCTCTGACTGAAACTTAATGCTGGGAGAAATGATAACGAGAAGATCGAAAGGCTTTCCCACGACCCCTGCAACAAAAAAACAAAACAAAAACCCCTGTCCTCCATCTCGGAGACTGCTGCAGATATAGAAGTGAAGACATCAATGCACTTGCCACTTAGCTTTTTTTTTTTCCAATCACTTATCTGACCTGTAAGGTTTAAACAGATACCAGAAACAAAGGACTAACACAAATAAAGGCCTAGCATTTCTTGAAGGATCACAGATTGTCTTTCACGGTGGAGTTTTGAATTTATCCTCTTCTTATGAAAAAGGACAGAGTTGCAGATGCTTTAGTCAAACCTTAAAAAGAACAATATGCCCATGATTGTGATATTTGACGTGGTCTCACATTATCTAATAGCACTATCACACAAGGACTAAAAATGTTATTTTTAGGTGCACTGGTTCGTTAAAGCACACTTCCACTCTCCCAGCTGCCTACGTGTTCCAGTTCCCCACCGCTGCCCTCATACATTTACAGACAAATATCGCAGACGAGCCTTACTTCTCAAAAAGCTCGTGCCCATTGATGTAACGAAGGCTCTTGAGGAACGACAGCGAGCTGAGCGCATGGGAGTTTTGAATCTTCACGAAGCCCGTCACCTTCTGGATCAATCCCATGAATTTCTCCAGCTCAGCAGCAATATTATCTGGGGGAAGGACATAAAAAAATAAATGTTCAGCTTTCACAGTACATAAATCAGACTACGAAGATCCACTCTGAAATATTTTACAGACCTCTTTTGCTACAGTGTTACCCCGACTAGTAAAAATATTTTGACTGTATGAGTTTTATTACATCAGGAGATTAGATTTCTCTGTCAACTGAGCGCCATTATGGCCTCATGTAATAATTGGAGTATGGAAGGTAGCTGAAATGTTAAGTTTGTCACTCTCAAGTTGCATCCAAACAACTTAGTCCACAAGGCTTCTCAGCTTTCACTGTCTCCCTAATATTAGTACTTTAAGAGCAGTCAAAAAACATACTGGGGTTAAAATGATACTTGTGTTCTGTGTAAAAGTTATAAACAGTAAATATCTTACTTGTCGAAGACGGCTCTTTGAAAGACCTCACTTTCAAAAAACAGTTTATTTCTGACCCAAATCACAAACTAATGTCTAGTAACATCTTTCAAAATATTCCTATTGGTTCATGCAACATATATTTTAAAACACCAGAAGCGCTACAGCTAGCTGCTTCTATCTGTGTTCACGAATAATTACAGACTTTGGTGCGAATAACCAAAGTGTGTAATTATTTAAAATTCTGGTGATGCAAATGCAAAATAGCATTCTTTGTCATTTTGAGGTTGAACTTATTTCAAGATGGCCTCAATCATCCTGATCTTGGCCCCACTCAAACTAGCTGCTGGCTCGTCAGACTTAAACTCCAAACTCATTCAAAGATCTGTGACAGGTAAGATATGAACTGTTCGTAATCTTTACATAGAACCCCAAAAAAAGGGTCAAAGCCCAATAATTCCACATGGGTAAAGCACATCGAATAGATGTGTTGGATTTGGGCGTACAGATTCATTTTTATCTGCTGTCCCTATATGCATGATCTTGGAAAAATTAACTTTACAAGATCTGAATTATTCCTTTGACATATATTAGCCTGTGACATGCATGTCCTTCAAATGCAATATGTCAAAGAAAACATCTCAGCACAATACACTTGATTTTACCCATTTTGTCACATAACTGGCATGCCATCTTCTGAACTTGGCTCAGCCAAATTGAAACAGGAAGTGACATCAAAGGGGAATTCTTTAAGAAAGTAAAAACCTTGGTCTTTGTTTATTGAAACAATATTATTTGAACTCTGCCTCTTCTTCATCTCTCTCTGATAATGACTCAAAATAATTAATATACAGTCTGTGTATTTCCCTTTGACATCACTTCCTGTTATTTTACATGTGAATATCTCAACAACTGCTCATCTCAGAAGCAACATTTTTGTTTTGCAATATGTTATCAGTGTTATCTTTCCAAAAGTATATTCATATTTATTTACAAAAAATGATGTCACAGGCGCTTAAAAGTATGGAGCAATAGGTTTACATGTTAACAGGCCAGGAAATACTTGGCCTATAACCTGATTAGTTGCTGAAGTAGTGCATCTCTATGAATATTCATGAACCTATTGTCAAATCCTGGTTTTGTACAAGAACAGACAAAGCAAGAGGTGTTAAAAGCAACTTTTTTATCCACTCACTCCCACTGCGGAGGTTGATGATCAGGTTTCCGTCGATGACGGTGCAGTCCTTCAGGGACTGAGCGGTGTCCACAGATGCCACGACGAGGGACGGGCAGAGTTTGTCACACAGGCCGTTGCACGCGGTGCACAGCATGCTGCACAAGTCGAAGGAGAGAGAACAAAGGAGTTATTAGAAAATCTATAACTTTTGATTTTGTCATGTTTTGTAATAAAAAGCTGAAATCAGGGCCATGATGAAAGGTCACCTTTGACACTGACAGTTTCATTTTTTTCACGACGCTTCCGCTGAACGGTTTGGTGACAGAGCAACTCACTGGGTTGACCTCTGCGACAAAACATGGCCAGAAACATATTCTGCAGCGGACAACCTGAATCCAAGCTTTGAGTTTTGAGAAAAAAACTAAAAAAACACCAAACTGCACAGGAAAACCTACATTCGCATCAAACAAAAGACGCTAGGACGAGGCACTTCAGTCGAGTCTCTCATTCAAGCCTCTGAGCACTCGTCTGTAAAATGTGCCAGTGGTAGGAGTCGAAAACTTTTCAGTGAATAGACTGGGAAATCTAAACATGAATCATTGATAGTCCGGCACACTCTTAACCTCCCGCACTTCCTGTGTTGAGGCCTACTTTAAGAGCAAGAACGTGATAAAAGTTCGGTCAAGTAAAGTTCAACTCAAGGATACCTTGAGCAGGAGAATTCATTATGCATAAGTGCACGGTGGTTACAAGCTGTTTTAATGTACCCGAATGCTGAAGTGTAAACATACATCTGTTCACGGATGTGAAAAAAGACACCAAATGAACGGTTCTGCCTGGTAAAAGTATCCGATAATGATCCAAAGCAAATTCAGATATACAGGACTTGAGGGGAGCAGATATGCCCATGGGAAACGCTGACATCAATAATTAATTTCAGTAAGGATTCCACATTAACTGTGTCACTTCGCGTCGCACTTCTAAACAATCAAACGGAGTCTGGAGTCCTCACCGATTAATCTCGTTGCGTTTGAAACCGGAGGGACACTCGGGCATGCATTCTCCGTCGTGGATGACGAAGTGAGGATCGCTGGGCAGGTGCACCTGCGCGCACAGGTCCATGGTGATGCAGCGCCAGCCCTCAAACCTGTAGGTTCCCGGGGGACAGTCGGGCACACAGCGACCCTCGTGGTTGTAGTGGATGCAGGCAGAGCAGGCCATGTCGTTATTGGGCTCCGTGCAGCTGCCCAGGCACTGGCTGTGGCAACAGTCTCCCTTGTTGGTGCATGCCAACTTGCACTGCTCCGGACAGACTGAGGAGGACAGAGAAACATGGAGAAGAGGTCAAAATAAATGAAAAAAAAAACTTCCAAGATTGATGAGAAGACAAAAGTTAAAGTTCTAGATCAACTGCCTACTAACTCATAGTAAGACTGTAAATTAACATTTAACTATGTATGTTTATTTTAAAGGAAAAGCATCATTCTGTGGAAAGATTATGAACAATTATTGTCTTACCCATTCTAGATAGCGCTTTAAATTAGCTCAGTTTCACGAAATAGTGTTTAATTTTTACTAGACTGATGAGCTAATAACTAAAAACTCTAAACTTTATAAATTTTTACACATCAATCGGTTTTTCATTAAACAGATATTCTAACAAAAAATGGCTAAATATAAACAATTTATTATAAAATAACATAATGTACATATATATTGATACTTTGGCTTGTAAATGACAACAGTTATTTGCAAATAACTGATATTTGAAAATGACAGTGAAAAGGCCCTGTCACACTACGAAGTTTTAGTTTAGTTAACTTATGAAACATTTGTCCAACACTAAAGATGTCTAAGCTGAAGATGGAATTTAAAAAAATATACTGGAAGCCTCTTTTGGACCGATACATTCTGTAATGCTAACAATTAGACTGAATGTATAGCTGATATGAGTAAAATAGTCATAACAACATTTTCACAAGTCAGCATAGATTGTCTAAAACATTATAGTGTGACAGGGCCTTAAGGTTTCTATTTCTGCAAACTGAGGTTCTTCCAAAAGCTTTGTCTTTGTAAAACAGATCTCCACAAAACCTTGCCTCAAAATCTCTGCATCTGGCTAAAAAAAAAAAACCAAAATAAAGCAGAACAGACAGAGCGACAACCATTCAAATAACACAAACAAAGCAGATGAATAAATTATTTGTATAAATCCACATAAACTTTCTGAATCTCACTCGTGTTCAGCTAAAAATGAAAACGATTGGCCTCATTTAACTGTGCAGTTCACCCTTCAATAGTAGGAAGAAAACAACCTCAAAAAAATAAAAAAGTTTCATTTGTTTTGTAAAAAAAAGTGTTTTGTAAAACTCGGAGCGAGCCTGAACAGGTCAGCTGATAAACTGTAGCAACAAGAGAATCCAATGTTTCTTTGTTTCTTTCTTTTAGTTCAAAAGGTAATAGCTGCACTGCGCATGCACAATTTCACAAAGGCCATGCAAAATATTACGTTGAATTTATATCCACTTTTGCATGATTTTGTTTAATTAAAAGTACATTTTCTTTCAGGAATGGCTCCTCTAATGAAGGCAGGCACAAAAAAAGCAAAGCCATGGTTATTTTCTGCTGTTCCCTGAAAACAAAGGAAACTGGTTGAACGGGAGTTAAATGTGCATTCTCATGTGTACATGTACACTCACTAATGACTTCATGTCTACAGTATGTAATCACGTTTTTAAGGTTGCACAATTCAGAATAAATGAACAAAGCTGTTACTTCAATAATGTCATTTACTATGGATTTAATAAGGAACAATGTTTTACTGCGCTGCATAATAATGAGAACATTTCTAATGTTTTGCTCGTCCCGTTTCCAAACACAAATGACGAAGCATTATTGAAAACACACTTCACTGGAACCGTTTCACTGTCCCATCTGTAAATTTGCTTGGACAGGCATATTTTTGATATGAGAACAGCCATGCTCTGTGATAAGGGAGACAATAAAAGCTCTCTATACAAATGTTCAAAGTGTTTCAGTTTTAAAGAACAAAAATCTAGAGTAACATTAGAGAAGACACAAAGTGACAGCAAGGTTAAAGACAAAGTGAGATTTCTTTTAGTAAAACTAACACTGCACTTAAATATAATAAATTCAAATTTCATCAGGTGTATTTATTTCCTTTCCCCACCTAAACCACACTCTTCAATAAAACGGCCTGAATAATCATCCCAATCAAAGTTTAGGAAACAGAAGCACATTCTTATTTTGACTAATTTCTGCAGTAATGAAACAAAGACGTCCAATTTTCCTGCAGATTCATATAAAAAGAGACCACATGGAAACACGTTGGGTGTTTTCAATTAAACTGAAGCAACAGCAGGACCGTTTGAAGCTTGTCACTGTTTACTGAGCCTCACTGAGAGACCTGAACACAAACCAATATGTTATCAATAACGCAGCATTAATTCGTCCCATAGGACAGATAATATATCCTACAAACTGCAAGTTGTCAGATTTATCCAGCAAACATGATCGTTAATGACAATCGTTATTACTAGTAAAAAAACTCTTTCAA